AAACTCCAGATTAAAAAAATAAAAATAAAAAGAAATGCTTTCTGGTAGTGCTGAAAAATTTATGCAACCCAATGAATAATTTTTTCAAAAAAAAAAAAAAGGAAAATTCGAATCTATGTTTCCTGGATCGAAGTACTGGAGGAAACGAAAAATCAAATCGCAGAAGAAATAGAGGTAAAAACACATAAGAAAGCGGGATTTACCTGATGCGCTATATAGCTCCTCTGAGACAAGCAGACGCAGGGGAGAAGAGAGAGCGCGAGGAAGAAGAACAAGGCGGATGGGTTTAACGGTGGTTTTGTTAGTACATAACAGGTTAAGGAAGGTCTTGCATGCTGGCTAGGTTTGGTTTTGCCGCTGACGAGGGCCGTCCGGACACCGTAGTTAGTTGCGATGTTCAGCTAAACGCACCGCTTCATTTACATGTTTTACTTACTGTTGTTATTTTTTTTTTTTTGCGTCTTGCTGGGAGAGAAGAGATGATGCAAATTATTATCTTAGTTGTAAGAACAATCAAACTATGATTAACAAGGTGTTGCAACTTGATATTAGTTAATAGGCGATTAACTCGAATTACTCAGCACACAAGAGTTGACTCAACTACTTAAAATAATGTTCAAATTCTTTGCTCATTTCTAAATTCGAGTCCTGCTAATTGCATGCCTTGATCTTGGACCTAAATAACCTTCTTCCATGCTAACCTTATATTTGGGTTGAAAGAACAAATGAAAGAAGAGATAAAAGGAAATATTATAATTTAATTGGTAAAAAGATCTCTTTTTTTCTTTTTATTTTTCTCAATCTAAACGTACTATAAATATACATTTAAGTAAAACTTAGTAAAAAATAAAGAAGAAAAGGGATGAGAAGGGAAAGAAAGAATTGATATTAATTTTGTTTAAATGGATAAAAATGAAGGAAAAGAAACGCTAATATTTTTATTTAATTAAATAATTTTGAAAAGTAAAATAAAATAATAAAAATTCACTAATTAAAAAAAATTGGCATAAAATATTTTTATATATTTATCTTTTAACAAAAATTTTAAAAAAAATTAAATACATACAGCCAATCCCTCTAATTTAGAGAGATTGAAAATAAAAACCAAAAGAATTAAAAACAGAAGAATGAAAGAGATTCCATTTCTCTCTCCCTCAATTAAAATTAGTAACCTAAATATAAGAAGTTCCCCTTCTTCTTCCTTTCCCCTCTAACTTCCCTAATCCAAACTAAGGCTGAATTCTATATACTTGAAAAAACTAGGCAATTTGCCAATTTGCCAATTTGCTCGATTCATCCTGTCAGGTAATAGAAAATAAAAGGAGTCACAATTAACTTCTATTCCTCTTTAGATCTCTGTGAAAATATGTCATCTCGTACAACACTTCTATTAAAAAAAAATAAAAAAACAGAAATGATATAATTACAGAAAAAAGGACAAATTTTAAACCCTCGAAAAATAAGTGAATGGGAGGGACGACTGTAAATTAAGGGATGGGTTTTGACAACAAAATGCTTCATCCATCACTGTACTTTTTCATCGTTCTGCAAAGTGGGACTGGTCTGCTCCTTATCTTCTGGATTGGAAGCCTCAGCTTCTTCTACAGAATTAATGCCATCTTCGATGACTGGCTGATCACCATTTTCTGAAACTTTCTTTTCCACTCCATTATTGATGGGTTTGGGAAGTTCTCTTGATGATGAGATTGTCAAGAGGCGACCAACTCCTTCATACAAATTCTTTGCTTCCATGATCAGAGCAGCTCCGCCTGGGTAACAACGGCCAAAGCATGTGGCACAATGTGGGAAAGCAACCTGCAAATGATGGTGGTTAGTTAGATGAAAAAGCTGTCAAATGAGATTTATCAGCCCAGAGTTCAATAGAATAGAACCTCAATAAAAGCACGGCAAAGTGAGAGAAAAAGTCCAGATTCATTTTCTCTGAGCATCCTCGTAGCATTGTATCTCAACAAAGAGTCAGAAACAGCACGCAACCCTTTGACTAATTCTTGAGCAAGCACATGCTTTAACCTTAAAGGGGCGCAAGGACGTAGCTCATTCATTGCAGCAGAGACACCTAAACACACCAGAGATATCAATCAATAAATGCCAAAGAATAGCACTTCTCTGCAACAATTTATTTATTATTAAATTACAGTCTCCTATAGAACTTGGAGACTATAATCTAGGAAAATACCTCAACATATCAGATTCAAACAACTGACATCAAATCATTAGTAGTTTAGTTTCAGGAATTCAGTTTATACTCCATAACTTTTATACTTAATATCAAACTGTTTGGAAGAAGTTTCTGGGCTGTAAAAATTCCCTCAAATGCATCATGGGATTGGAGGAAACTACTCAAGCTCAGGCAACGGGCTAGGGGGCTCATCCAGCATATCCCGGGAGATGGCACTGAGACTCATTTGGGGCATGATAATTGGCATCCTTCTGGTCCACTGGTAGAAACTTATGGTACAAAGATTATTCAAGATGCAGGCATTCCATCCCATGCCAAGCTTGCTGTGGTGGTTAATGGAAATTATTGGAAATGGCCACCTACACGCTCCCCTCAGCTCCTAGATATTCAAATAGCGCTATGTGGTAGATTATATCCTAAAGAGGGTGAAAAGGATAGTATGGTGTGGATTCCCTCAGCTTCTAGTTCTTTCAAAGCAGGAAAAACATGGCATTGGATAAGAAATAAGCAAGCTAGAGTACCATGGCACAAATTAGTTTGGTTCCCTCAATCAATCCCTAAACATAGCTTCATTTGCTGGTTAGCTATGCTGGATAGATTAACAACAAGAGCCAGGCAAAAGAAATGGCCTCCGACTTTGACTGACACTTGTGTACTGTGCAACAATGACTCAGAGACTACTGAACATCTCTTCTTCAAGTGCTATTACGCAAGAAGGGTCTGGCAAGTTTTGAGCAATTTGGCAGGTATTCCATTTATGGACTCTTGGCAAAGGCTTTTAATGTGGATGGGAAAGCGGATACGAAGGAAATCCTTGTATTGGACACTTATCAAGTTAATATGGAGTGCTGCAATCTACCATGTTTGGATGGAAAGGAACAATAGAATCCATCAGCAAGTCTTTAGAACAGAAGAGGCAGTATGTGAAGAAGTGCGATTTGATGTGAAACACAGGATTTTAGGTTTTGCCAAGTTGAAATCGTCATCTCTACCTGTCTCCGTGGCAATTAATTGGGGGATTGAAGCTGTTGTGCAAGGATAGTATAGATTAAATAGTTTCTGCATTTTATTTTGTAGCAGCAACAAATTGCTGCTTGCTTGTGTATATACAGTTACTGGATAAATAAAATTCACCTTTTATCCAAAAAAAAAAAACTGTTTGGAACGATGGTCAGTTTTTCAGATTCTAGGCTGGAATCCCTAAGCAACTAAATATCAGTTGCCTGATGACAGCTCTGATATCTAATTTGTTTGATAGTTCCAGTCAAATATTGAGAGAAATTCGTCATGTCAAATTTTAAGGCAGCAATAACCAACGTTGAGAAATTATTGATCCACTTACCATTAACAAAGACTGCAAGAGGTGGATGTTCCATTAGATGAGATGGTGGTGTCACATCCTCCTGACTTTCTTCACCAACAATATTCGCTGGAAAGCCAACCACTGGCAATGGGACCCAGCGATGAGAATCCAAAACTAACTGAAGTCAAGTAAGAGAACATGTCACCAATGACCAACCATCAAGATAAAGGCTGGTCTAATAAGAAAAAGCTAGAAGCTGTTTGTAATTGCTTGCACAACAAATCCAGGATAATATCAGAAATCATGTCACCACCTGAAACAAAATCTGAATACTATCGTCATTTGCCAGACATACCTGAAAATTTTCAATTGCTGTACTCATATTCTTTGAGAACAAGTTAAGAACAGCCCTGCAAAATGAGCAAACTCAATTTTAATTATTAGCATATGGGAAGATAACACTCGCAAAGCATATCATAACACAAGGGACATACAAAGATGTAAAAGGTAAAATAACATATTGATACTTACTCTTCAAAAAGAGACGGAAGCAAGCCTCGAAAATCCAACCCAACCCAACCAAGCCCCATAGCACAATACTTCAACAATACAAAGAACAAAGTTGATATCAAATTTTTGTTGCAGTATGATTTCTGTCAAACTTATTTAACAAAGAAAGACTATAACAAGTCAACTACAAGTAAGATAAGGAAATGGATAGGAATTAAGCTGCTTGCCCGAATGTCATCAAAATTCTGAAGGTATGCTCAAATTAAGTGGATTAGATCACCAGTTTTTGTTAATTATGATATCTATAAGAGAATGGGAAAAAGAAAGTTGGAGGCATGATGACATGAGTCCAGAAGGACCAAAGGACCCCGAGTATTTGGAAACAACAGTACAAATTTGAAGCTTTGCAGAAATAAAGAAAATGTGAATTTAATATAATTTAATGACATTTTCTCACCATACACTGATCCAGAATATTTGACAGAGATCCACCTTCAGTTATCTTTGGGAGCATAACTTTAAGAGTTTTAAGGTGTGATGTAATCTGATGCATAGCCCAACTGAAAAGAAGCCCACCATCGTAATTTTCTTCACTTCCTGATGTATCATCAGCAAATATTGCTCGATATTGATTAACAACATCAAAGAGATGCATTCTATGACAATTTATCATCCCTTTCAGAAACTCATACGCATTCCTCTGGTCCAGATCCTCAAGAATTCCAGTGAGCCATGCCTCTCGGCATCTCAAAAACTAAACAATGTTATAATCACATCATCGGAAAGGCACCTAAAAAGAGAAGAAGAAAATAGAGTATGCCCAAAAATACAAAACATACCTGCAATCGCATTTCATACTCGCTAAAGACCCCAATTCGACGTAAATATCCAATAATGCGGAGACATTCTGGTAACTATAATACACAAACAGATTGCATTCAATTCCAACTTTAAATAAAGTTGTATTCAGTGCATGTGGTTAACATGACTATCGAACAGATACCTGAATATTAGAGCGCAGCTTCTGTAGAAGCTGAGCTAGAAGAGATTGGGTTGTCTGCCGAACCTCTGCAGCTAATGCTTGAATAACAGGTAATCTTTCATAGGAGTTAAAAACTAGTCTCAGTAGCCTACTTGTCAAAAAGTTAAAAGTCAGTGGAGATGATGGAGAATAACTCACTTGGGGTGCATGGTTGAGAGCTTACAAACAAAAGCTTCTAAATCAAGAGCTTCATCATAATTCCCATTTCGTACACATCTGCAGAAACATAGAAACTAATGAAGCTTTCCTGAATTAGTTTCCATAAAGCAAGTGCTTCATTGAGAAAGAGACATTACTTTTAATAAAATAAGATAGTCTCACTTAATCAGTAATTACTGATGTATTAAGGACTTCTCAAACAGACGAAATAAATCTATGTTGGATGTGTCAGTCAGATACCAATTAAAACCACCAGTGTGTTGATAAATTTGTTAATTTAACAAGAATATAAGAAAGCACATACGTGTCCATAAGCTGCGGAATCTCAAGCAAGTCAAGCAAAGTACTATGATTTGCTAACAATGTCTGATTCATCTTCCTCTTCTCCAAAATATCTTCTGCAGATTCAACAAACTCTGTGCAACCTGATGTCAGCTTTGGGATCTCGGTTATCTGAAAGGCAAAATACCATTATCATTTTTTTCTTCATGGCTCCATTAACAAATATTAACATGTCGTATCCAGTGATTCACTACAAACATTAATGAAAAAAAAAATGAAAATAAGATAAAAGCAACTAACAAACAAACCTAAGAATATCAATGCATCCCCATGTTTAGATCACATTAGACTAACCAACATAATGGATAGAGGGAAACAAAGCAAGTGTAGAATTTCATATAACTTCTTAATCTCTTTCAAGCTTTGCAATTAGTTATGAGGCTTATGCTCTGTTCTAGAAGAAGCACTGCATTAACTTTGTATTATTCATCTGCTGAAATTCAGTCACTCTCCCTCAGCATACAATGTTCTCCAAATTTTGAATCCAAACATAGATAATCATAATCGCATAAGAAAATCACAATACCTAAGCTGGAGAGTGGAAACAGCTAAGTCTGAAAACAATCCGGAATCTAGAAAAGAGAAAGGATAACAAAGCATAACTGAATTGAATCTGCAAAAGAGAACGCAATTACCAAAGATTCAAGATGCTTATCAATAGAAGAAACTTCGTCTTTAATCGCAACCAACGAATCAGCAGCTGCAATGAAGGCGCGGTAATTCCCAACCGCCACCTCCTGCATTTGCCTCTGAATCCTCTCCGCATCCACCCGAAGAAGCTCCGGTTCCTTTTTAAATACAAATTAAACAGAAATCAATCACAAAATTCTCTAGAAACTTGACAGATTCAACTACACAGACTGCATGGAAACAAATGAGACCTTATGGAGGCGATCGAGAGTGAACGAGAGGAGCTCAGAAACGTAAGGCTGTTGAGCGGCGGAGGCGAGAGGTAAGAGACTATCCGTGGCCGATCTTGGTGACGACGACGGCGACATATTCTCTCCATTTTCCGGGTCCATTTCCGTCTTTTACGGACTCTGAATCAAGTCTTCCGTCGCAGAGAGGAACAGATCTGTCACGGTGGGAGATTTAATTACAGCAGTGAGCTCTGTGTGCAGAGCTTCTCCGCAGTCCGTTCAGTTTGGATCTGAACGACTTCCCTTCCCCTGTATTTCGTGAGCTCAGGCAGGGCTAAATCCCTGGCCATGTCAGCTGTCTGTTGGGCCCCATCCGACCCCACGTAACCCAGATCGGACGATGATAACCGTTCGATGCGTAGAGTTTTTATTAATCCGCGTATTAGGGGTTATTTCCCAACTTAGCCCCAAAAAGATTGTTTTTCCTAATTTCACCCTCAAACTTGATTTTAGGCCAATTTAGTCCTTTTAGGCTTGTACTATTGTTTTTATTTTATTTTTAAAAAAGTATCTAGCAATGCATATTGTTTCATATTACACAACTTTAACCATTTGATGAGAGTAAGGCCGTTGATACTAAGGATTTCTTCCTCCACCTAATAGATTTTATATTATAATTTGACAAGATTATAAAACAAAAAACTCTTTATTTATTTAAAGGCATTTACTTTGGTATGTTGCATTCTATTTTTTTTTCTTTTTTTATGAGAAGTGCATTCTATTTGTAACTGTTTATTACTCTAGTAATTTCATTTTCTGTTGTTTTGAATTAAAAAGAAAAGAACCTCCAATTCAATACCATAAAAATGGAAATTTCATTTGATTCAATGACACATCAAGGTTATTTTCTTAAGTTTAGAAGAATCAAGGAAGGGTAAAAATACACAGATTTATGAACAGCACAAAGGCTTTTAATTTCTACATTTAACACTCCACAATTTTACAACATTCACCACTCCACAATTTTACAACATTCACCACTGAACAGCAAAATAATGAAGAAGAGCAACAATACAAGCCAAGATGAAGCCTGAAAAGGAAACAGAGGAAGCCTCTGAAGAATAGAAGTAGTAGTAAGGATAGGGGTACTGATGGGGTCCTACATATGGTGGCCCTTGATAATATGGATATGGAATGCCGGAGTACTTGGGAGGAGGTGGAGTACCACCATAAGGGTATGAAGAAGGTGCTGGTGGTGGTGGTGGTGGTGAGTGTGGAGTTGAGTGGTGAACTGGCGGTGGTGGGTATGTCTTCAGTAGAGGTGGAGGTGGGTATGGCGTCAGTAGCGGTGGAGGTGGTGGGTATAGCGTCAGTAGTGGTGAAGGTGGTGCGTATATGGTCACTAGTGGCTCTGGTGATGGAGAGCAAATCACCGGACAGGTCTCACATTCACTGATGCAGAGTAAGCTAGATGCCGGTTCCCCCACTTCCCCTTGTGCTGCAACTTGTCCAAATCCAAGCACGAATATCATTCCCACGATCCCGACCAAAACAAGCCAACCATGTCCCATCTGCCTTGCTGAAGCATACATGAAACTTGAAGGTATGATCTTCTTTGGTTCTCTGAATTGTGGAGAAGAAACTTCTTGTGCTTATCTAGTTGTAACTTTATCGAGCCACGTGCCAAGTGAGTCATTGATTAGGTAACTTAACCTCGTATATGCGTGTGTATGGCTCTTCCAAAAGGTAGATTTAGATGCTTCTTTAAGTATGATATTTTGCTGTAAAGGGGAAATTTTGCTACATTTCTTTGTCTCTTGGAATAGTTGGGCTTTTGACACAGACACTATTTAGACACATTACTTGAAATTGGGATTGAATTAGGGGGCTTTTTGAATTGGTAATTATTGTGGTCTTCGGCGATGTTCAGTACTTTTCTTGTGCAACAAAGCAAATTGGACTAATAGGAATAGATATCATGAAGTTTCCTTAGGACCTGAAGAATGTTATTTTGCAATCTTTCATTTTCAGGGGAGGAGGAATCCGAAGTGAAAACTTGTTTGATACATTTGCTACTTTTTATTCTACCTTTCTCTGACCATGGTTGCCTTTGTGAGAATAAAGTCTCACCTCAGAATGTTGCACTTCACACTTTATTCTCTCTTTATCCCTTTCTTTCTGAGCGTGCTTCTGAGTTTTCCTTTCCTTGTGGCAGGTTCTAGGGATTTCTTGCCAGAAGGATATACTTTGTAAATGATTTTTCATTTTTAATGGAAAACGAAGTAAGTGATTTTAACTTGTGCACCATCTTGATCACCTTACTGAAAACAATCTGTTTATTTTCTGCATGATTTTTTGCCCGTTGATATGCAGGCATTGCAAGGTAATTTACAAGTACATTAAAGAAAATGAATTTGTTTTCATTCACCTTCTTTTCTTAGAGATCTAAAGCTTGACAATAAAATGAAATATAAGATATAAGAAAAGAAGTATTTTATTATTATAGTGCAAGAAATGTCAAATTGTGATCAACAAAATTGACTACTTTTGTGTTGTGAACTCATGTGAAGTATTTAAAATAAAAAATAGAAGCTTGCTGGCATACATGCACAGGATAATGTGACCTAGGGCTAGGCATAGAGCTTGAATTGAATCTTAATTCCTCATCATTCAAATACCTAAAGTTTGTGTTAGAAGAATTTGAAATTCATGTGGTGTCTATAAATAGATATGTGACAGATCTGACTTGATGATGATATGATTGGGTGTAAACTATTGGGAAGTTGAGGCTGAAGTAATTGGCATTTTGGCTGCAGCTATGACCATTCCTGACAGCATTGATATGTGATAATTCAGGGCCCATTCCAAGGTCTCTTAGTCGGTTAAAGTTCTGTTATCATAACTGTGCCAAGATCTTGTCTGTCCTCTCTCATTTCTGCAGTGACAATTTTGCAAATGCTAGGGCCTCTTCAACAAGCCTATCTGGCAGGATAATCAATGCTGTCCACACAAAGATTGTTTGGAGTTGG